TACATCAAACCACTTTTGAGGCAACTTTTTCTTCAGATAAAAACTAATTAGAGAAATTTGGAGGTGAAACGGCTTCGTCCCCACCATCCAGAAGAGCTTAACTTTAAGAACAAAGAGATGGAAGACAAAGGTGACTCTTCTCGTTTGAATGGTTCTCAAAATGCCGTGGCTCGCCGTGCGTGTGTATAGAAAAATCATCAGTGTTTTGTTCTTATTGCTTGCTTTTCAGTGGTAAAGAAGTGGAAGAAACCTAAGCCCCACCCAAATCTTGGTCCACCCACCGCCACTGCTCACGGTACTTTTCAATTTCACTAACTGTAAACATTTTAGAGCTCCAGGCCAATCTATGAATGCAGGCTTTATTTCTTACCACAAAAAAGTAAAATAAATGCTCCTCAATAAGGGCTTTCCACTTGACTTTGATGACAGGATGAAACAATTCAAATTCTGAAATCTACCCCTTTCAAAAATATCCAAAGGCAAAAGGGCCATTTCCTCCCTTACCGCTGTTAGAAGAAAACTTGCGACGAGCAAGTTTCATATACATGTATATAGACTCTACAGTCAAACCCCATTATAATTATACAGTCTACCTTGGGACAATCATGAAGCTGTCAGTATAACAGGACAGCACCGATTGCTATTTTGACTAGATCTAGTAGTAATCTGGTAAAGGCTAGAGACTCTACAGATAAATTGTGACCAGTCTTGACTCATCAAGATCTGTCTTGGGCGATCGCCATGTGCAGGGAAAAAACAAGTGACAACCAACTGCACTACAGCTTCAGCTGAACTTTACGTAAATTCAATTATTCGAACATTCCTGGCAGATCAGAAGCTAAGTTGTATGTGTCAATGACTCTGTTGATGTAGAGTTTTATTTTACCCAATGCACGTCAGTCTTTGGGCCACCTTTGACTTTTCACGTAGACTTGAGCGCGAGTCCTCACAATATAACAGCCTCATGGGCGCCCGCCAGTCTTTTGGTCAATGGGCCAAAATATTTTGCAGACAGGCCGAAGTGACGCATTCCCTTTGAAGTTTTTTTCCCACGACTCAAAATTCTAGTTCATTTCTAATATTTTTGTACTCTGCGCAAATCAATAGCAATGAATCAAAAGCTAGAAATGGGCAGAACTCGCAGAGACGAGTGGGAAAGAGATTATCAAGCAGCCACCAAGAGGGTGTCATGCACCGTGTTGTGTGTGTACCTCTGGCACCCAATTTGCTGGCAGTATAGACGGGCAAATCTAAATAATTTTGATAAGTACTGTACAAATCATACACTTGGCGGATGGCAGTGTTAAAACCCACAAAAGGTGGAAAAATTAAAATTCACCCAAATGAACAGGCTGAAAAAGTTCCCCATGGACCACAACATTCTCTTTCAGTATAAAACAAATGGTTTAAGGGTTCTAGATTAAGTGGAGGAAGACGGTGTGAAAAAAGGTGTACCGGATGAAGTACAGACATGATTTTAAGTTGCAGTTGCTGTGCCTAGGGCTTGAAAATAGAACTGATAACCGACAAGATGTCCTCCTTTTAGAGATCCTCCTGATAATCACAGTGCCAGGCTCCCACATTTTCACAGAGCTCACCCATGCTACTGCAGGGTTCTCCATCCTGGAAAGTCAGGAGACACAGAGGAAAGGTGCTACTGGATTTAAGAAAACAACCTTCGTGCCTCTTCAGAAAAGACAGTGTGGGCTGATGGACTTGCTACAGTCAATGACACTTTTCTGGTTACAACTAAACTTCAAGTGTTAACGCATATGAAAAGAAGACATGTACATAACCAAAATCATGAAGACACCAGTTACAAGACTTATGATTGAACAAGATAATCTTTATTGTCAAATGGCAGAAAGGGTATATGTAGCAACATAATAGTACAATACCAAAGTTTTGATACAGCCCATGAAGTTCAGCTTAAACAATTGTTCAAAAAAGCTCTGGAGCTCAAAACTTGACCTCGATTTTCTCATCCTCAGGATGATCAGTTACAATATGAATGCACTTAATCATCTTTATTCCTCCTCTCACTATCTTCAAATTATGAATGAGAGGAAAAAAGTACCATGAAAAATGACACCATAAAAAGCTGAAAGGGAAAAAAGGTGAATGAAATAAAAGCATGTTGCTTAACTGTTGAACTGTGAAAACATGTTGCCAACTGCAAGAGGAAACTGAAATTCAATTTTGCTGAAAATCTGAAAAAGCATGTAGGTTATGGAAAGGTCTTCACTTACCCTGTTAAAAACTTATTGTACAACAGGAACAGTGGTTAGAACCATTTAAAACAAAACACTCAACTTGTCAGGCAATACTGAAATCATCTGGTGACTAGTATTATGGCTTTAGAAAATACTGACAGATGTAGAAACAAAAATGTAAGTGGCATCTCCAATCCGAGATGATACATACGTAATTAGATTGTCACATGGAATGTAAATTTTACTGAAATGGCAAGAAAAACAAGCTGAAACTAGACAACTGCAACACAGCAAATTATTTTGAAATTTGACTAGTCAGCATTTATAGGAAATTGAGAATAGAATCAGAAATGCGCAAGGGAACAAATTATGGACTTCAGATAATTGGGAATTATTTTTTATAAAGGTTTTTAAAAGAATGTAAAATGTAAGTGTACCCCAGATTTTTTTGTTGTGATCATAGAATAACCTGAAACCTCTATTACCAAAATGCTAAGAAAAAACAGTTTATGCCTACCCTTATGACCACAGAAGATACAAATGCAAGCTACATGTGTTGATAAAGCAGAGCACTAGAATGAAACTCATTTTACATAAGTTAGCCTTTAACTTAACATTCATCAAACGTTTAAAGTTATGATAACGAGTCTCAAATTTATGCTGTTACTATATTTTAGCAACGCTTTAAGAAGCAGGTAACACGTCTTGCAACAATTATCTGAACTCCACTTTTTCCCAATTGCCGTAACCAAAAAGTGGAAATGATAAAGATCCCCACGCAGAAAGGACAAAATTGCAACAGACATTCCCATCCCAACACTACATTCACTTTGTTAACAATAAACCCACAAAGACAAACAAGTTTAAGGCAAATCCTGTGGTTATTTTCTCAATGAGCTAAGCTGGGATATGTTCATAAGACATGGCATGCACAGAGACAATTGTTATCAATTTGTTCATCACATTTAAACCCTTTTATAATGTAGAGACAATGCACATCTGGTTCTTGAAAATGATATACTCTTAAAAAATAACTGATGTGTAACCCATGATATGACAGCGCAAAAAAACAGAGCCATATACTGCACTGTATGAAAGACTCGTGGATGGAATCTCTAGGCAGCATTTTAAAATCTAGTATGCAACTGTAGGTATATTAAAGAACTCGATTACCTTGAAAGCATAATGAGCTCTTGAGAAAAAATTCAAAAGTAGAAACAGATTTTTAAACAAGCACTTATTCGAAGGACACCCCCTCAAAAAAAATCAAAACAACCCACAAAAAAGAACCTTCTCTACAAATCATCAAAGCTTCTGTCTGATCATAGCAGATCAGTACTTTCATGAAACTATCTCTACTTAGAAATCCTAAAGAATTACATGACAATGACTGCCATCCATATGCCTGGGAAACTAAAGCATTCTGCCATAGACTTCAGTTGTGACGACTTTTTCAAAACTGCAACAAGGCTCTTTGTTTTGCTTGTTCCATTTATTGCATATTCAACAACAAACTTTTAGTGAGTACAAAAGCGTGGTCTCACTTTTTAATACATAAATATAATAAATATATATATATATATATTAACATATATAGAAAGAACCCAAATCTAACAATTATAAAAAAATAAACCCATCTCATTTTCACATCAAATATTCATTTTGATCTCAAACAAAACACAGCTAAGAACAAATTGTATAACAAGTAAATGTATAACAGACATTTTTTAAATCCAAAATCAATCCGATTTCAGAAAAATCACAATAAATGTAGCACAGTCTCTAAACACTTAAGTATTATTCAATATAACAAACCAACAATTGCGGCTTGGGCAAATCCAGCCTAGCATAGAGAGAAAATGACAGCAGGAAAAAATAGGAGTGGGTTCGACAAAAGAAACAAAAGAACAAAGTAGAAGTGTGGAGCAAGTAAAAAAAAACAAATAAGATTTTGATGATCTGCTCTGAACAGATTCAAAACCAGATGGGAATCTTCAGGTTTAGACAGTATGGATTTGGCCACATATTGCCCAAGCCTATCAATTTCACATCAGCTGCTGAGGAGCTCCCGGCCTGGCTCTTCTTGGAGCTGGCTGAGCCCTCAAGAACACGGCCATTAGAGAGCGTACTCTACGCTGAGCAGACTGGGCAGCATAGAAATTACCAATTATTGTGACAGGAACTTCATCCACATCAGGGTCCTCACCTGGAAGTTGGACTATGGCTCCACTAACTCGCTGCATTTCTTTCACCTGCCAAATAAAGAAAAAGACATTTCAGTTTAGAAATTCTTCAGTCGTTTTTAAATTCCTGTTAATAGGCCTACTTTATTATCTTGGGGAAAAAAAAGCTAAATTAACCAACTGGCTGGATTATTCATGTCTCTGTACCGATACTGACTTCATTCCCACTTTTTTCATTAGTGTCAGGTCAATTCAATTTCACTACATGATCTTTTCTCTTTTAATAATAGAAGTGAAGCAAAGAAGTAAACAAATTATAAAAATAATACCCCTTGAATGTAGGAAAATATTCCTCAGATAATTCGTAAATTTAATAGAATCAATGAGTTTACGATCTTTCACACTTTTAATTAAGAAATAACATAAGTGAAAGTTGTCCATACTGAACTGGCAAAATATACTAGACTGTTTTTACATAACCATTACCCATGAAAACCTGTAAGTCCTTTTTTTTTGGTAAGTGTTTTATGGTGCTCGCAACTGCATAAGGTCATATGAGCACGCAGGTCACATTAAACATTTTCAATAGGTAGGAAATTTTGAATTTTGCCCTGGTGGCAGCTGAAGCCTACTCTTATCGATTTTATACCACCAAGGGTTCTTTAACGTGCACAACTTGCACACAGCACCCCCAAAATTTTTCTCCCTAGTCCGAGAAGGCAAGGTGTAGATCTTTTCTACCAGAAGATCAGGGGTGTGGCTGAAAGACAGAAGTAAGAAGGGGTCAAAGAGTAGCAGTAGAAAGACTGCAGAAAGAGTCGGGAGCCCAGAGGAGGGGGTAAAGGAGGAGAGGGCAGAAATTGGAGACGAAAGCAGACGACAGAACATTGCTAGAGAGCAGGAAAGGAGACAATTTTAGAGAAGAAAATTTTTTGGTCGCTACCCGGATTTGAACCCGGGACCTTTGAATGAGAGGTGAACACCTTAACCTTTAGGCCACTAGAGCAACCCCACCCCCCTCCCCCTGTAAGTCCACCTCTCCTCCAACTGAGATAGCCAATGAAATGATGCAGTTAGTTAATATGACTGATCAGTGGTGCAGACTTTTTTGGGTTAAACTATATTGGAGAAACACATAAAACACTCGAAGGTAAATAAGCTAATGATACAAAGATACAGTAAATAAAAGTAAATTCTAAATAATAGTTTCTCAGAAAAAAGAAGGTGACCAGAGCAATATAAAGCTTGTGTTTAATGACAAAACATCAAAACCAGGAATGGTGGAGGAGAGACAAGTCTGTAGCAAACATAACAAAACACATAAGCTTTGAGTGGCAATATTATGCAGTCTCCAGTTTTCATCATTTATTCACCTAGCCACTTGGACACAAATTTTAGATAGCAAGTTATCTCTCCCCCCTCTCAACAGGATGCCAGTTGGCAATTGAGCAACATATTAACAAAAACTGTTGGAATGATCTTTTAAACATGCGCACTTCTACAAGTTATAACTTTCCTCCCAATTGGTTTGTCTGGCCTATGAGCGCACAAATCAGTTTTTTAAAGAAAATTGAAGTGAAAATATTTTGAAAAATGTTGAGCAGACCAAGCATGAGTGCTGCTTTACAGTGCCGCCATAATGAAGATTTGGGTGATGAATGTGCTAATATAAACTCTAATACTGAATCCTATTCTAATTTACATGTGTGATCATCACACTCAAATTTCCCAAAGTCCCAAGGATTTCATAATGATCAGAGTGCTCTTGGCCGGTAGGTATTATACTGATGTTTCCCCATCTACTTTCTGGTATGTCTGGAGTGAGCTCTGCACACTGTGTGGGGAAAAGTGTATAAGAGAAACATTTTCTGCCATTGCCATATTCCAAAACAGCAAAATCTATATCAACATAGATCACATTCACTGATGAGAATAACAATCCTACAACTGGTCTAGAATAGCAGCAATGTAATACAGTTGCCATGATTATGACTAGACCTAGTGGAAAATATTCAGCACAAAAGGGATAGTACAAAAACATTCTCAGGAGCTACATTGTTCTCCGTACTGTAATCAACAATTTAGAGGGTAGACACTTTATACAGTATAGAAGTTGACTAACCAGATAGTTGAAAAGTTTGTCTTCAACTACTTACATTTTGTCCACCTTTTCCTATTATGCGCCCAATGCTTTGTTTAGGAACCACAATTTCTGTTCTTATATGCACTTCGTCATGAGCAGCAAGTCTGAGTTCGTTCTTAACCTTTTCAAAGATGTAGAACTGCGCCTGAAAAATTTGAAGCAAGATATAACAATTTTTCACAAAAAGTCTACACAATTAGCTTTAGACAAAGAAACTATAGCAATATCATGATGGGTCATATTTACTACTGTGAACTGTGGTTTAACTCATTCCATTCCAACTAACTATACATGGAAGAATTGCTGGACCATACTGTGACAACTGTATACACAATGTCACCAAAAAAACAAAAAAACAAAAAAGTTCAGCTAATTTTTCAAAATTGCTGGTGTTCAACTTGTCCTACCTGTCACTTTTTAAGATGTGATTTCGTATTTTGGCCCCCTCCGACGATTGAAATATATATAACGTGCCTAACATATATAAGGTGGATAACAAAAACATTTTATCCTCCACCACCGCCCAAATACCACTGAATTTCAAAACATTGACACAAAACCTTGAAAATCTCTTTGGCACAAACTGACTTAAATGGCAAAGTGAAGAAAACAGAACAACTGGAAAAGGCACTTTTCATTGTAACTTGCAAAGCCAGAGACCTCTTTATAAGAATTTTAAAAATATTGAAATTAATAACCAAAGAGACATGGAGTAAAATGCATGAAGACTAATTTTGATAAGATATCACAAAGCAGTCACAGATGAGAGCATGAAAATGTAAACAGGAGGGAACGGGCATCATTAAAGGTTTAATTTTTTTTAATGTCCCATATGGCATGCCAAGTTACATCTGCTATCTCTTTTTCAAGTCATGAAAAAGAAAATGGTTTGCTCTCTTCTTGCTATTTGATTACCAATGATTCTTGACCTACAAGAAGCATAGAGTCAAGTTTTTAAAAATTGTGCCTCATAGGCACAAGAAAGTGAAGGAGTTGAATATTCCTACAAAATGTTTTTTCCATTTAAGTCCCCTGTGCTGTAAAAAGTGGTAATGTCTTGGTAGAAACTTTTTAAAAATTATAAAATTAAAAAGTACTGATAGAAAAGAGCCATTAATGACCTTAGCATTAGGGTTATGCTCCACTACAGTCGTAGCTGCTGAATTGATTCTGACTACCATTTATAATGGAATTTAAAAACACAAATAGCATTTGGGACCAGAAAACAAAAAGAATTACCAAAAAATCTGTTGAATCATTTTGTTCTTAAGTAACAAATATTTTTGCAGATGAGATAACCTGAGTGAAAAAAAAAAAAAAATCTACAAATGTTTCAGATATATATCAGTTTACCTTCCATTGGGCCTCTGGTGAACCAGATATGACAGTTTTTCGCTCATCTCCTGAATTGCTGAAAGGATTGTTTTCTCCGCTTCCATTTTTGTCATTGGCGCCCAGAATCTGCAATACATTTCAATGAAAGCTGCAAACTAATACAAAAGGATAAACATTTTTTTTACCAACAACAATGATGGTTAACATTCATTACATCACTTGTATGTATGTAAGACAAGACTCAAGATATTGCTAGCACAATTGCCCCGAGTAGGTTGAGTGGAAATGTGCTATATAAAAGTAGGTAGCGTAAACACGGCCTCGTGGGCACTCGCGGCCTTCCGACCGCGTGGTATCGGTAAAATCGGGTTAATTCCGATCGCTGTTTCTTTGCTCTTTTGCTATAAAACACCAAATGCCGTACACCTTGTAAAAGTTCAGCTTTTCCTCGTTACAATGGTGTAAGTTGTTTATATGTCCGATTATTAGGGGCTGGAGAATCGCAGACGAAAGCGAAGCCCCTCGCTGTTGGAATGCGAGGTCGGCCGGTTGAAAAATTTACACTCGTGCATTCAAATGCTTCGCGGAACGAGGGATGATTAAATACCGTCTTTTCATTGGCGGAGAACTGTAGAGCTTTAAACGGGCTTTCGCGTGATATAAGTTTAGCCTTTGCCGTCTTTATAGAAAGCTTTTAAAAATACCGTCAAAATGTTTAAAGATCACTTTTTACACAAAATATGTAAAATACCGGCTTATAAAAGGTATTAATTAAAAGATCAGTTAATTTCCTATTAGAATAAAGTAATTAACTTGGAATTATTTTACATCAATCCTTCCGTGAGACTCAGAAAGCATGTGATCCTGCACGCGGGGTACACTACAGTATAGAGCCGACTCGCTCGTCGCGGGGGCCGGTGCGGCGCCGGCCGGGCCAACGCTCCGTGTTTTTGTCGAAATAACGACAGATCATCGTGTTTGAAGTGATAAAATACTAATTTGTAAAGATCTCAGTTTTGAAAAAAATTAGGCTCCATATATTTGTTATAGTGATTGTACTCTGTTAATGTGGAGATGTTTAGTGCACTTGGTACTTTTTTATTGTCTGTCAAACTTGGGGTTGCAGCCAGTGACTGACTTAAACAAATTTGATCAAATTTTAAACAACTACCATTTTCTAAAAAATTGACTGAATGGTACCAAAATGCTCAGGGGATATAGGCCTTTCAAATGGAACAGATAAATTTGGCATACAGCTAGTTTGAAAATTTAGTTTCTGGTACCTAATAAAAGCAATTTATTATTATCATCATTATTATGACAATATAAACGTTGAACTTATTTTTGAAAATAACCATTGCCCCCACATACTGGGAAGGAAACCATTCCATTCCTTTCAGAAGTACTGTCACCAAGGAAACTAACAAACCGACTGGGGCCTTTAACTGAAGTAAAATTATATTCACCTAGAAAAAAGTTTTCATTTGACCTTTCCACGAGTACTCTCATTCTATTCACTCACCAGATATTACAACAAAAGAATTTACACAGCTTTAACAAACTTATGCAAACTTGATTCACAATTAAGTTTTTATCCCCAGGAATCACGATACAAAAAAGAAATATATGTACGTTTATAACAAAAGTGTCAAATGTCCCCATGCCTAATGAATTAGGAGATGAAAAGGCCAAAAATATTCAACGGAAAACAATCATAATTTCTTAATCACATCTGGACTTTACAAATGGAAGTGTATTAATTCATTAGTAATTTATTTTAAGAGTATGGTACTTTAACCTGTGTATGAACTCAAGGCAGAATAATGTTCCCATGCCATGGAGTATTCTGGATTATTCACAATCCTTAACACCAGTGGAAGCCAAATCAGGCTGCATACTAAAATCTACCTCTCTATCTCCCCAAATTGAAATGCACTGCTCATGAATACTCTATACACAACAAGGCAATGAATACCAAACATCTAAGAATTGTAACTTTCAGCTAATACATTAAACCACAAACCTATACAACGGTACACTGTGTATTCACATGTAAAGACAAAGCAAGAATGCGTAAAAAATTATAATGGAAATCATGAAAAGATGTATCAAGATACAGACATGGAAAGTGAAAACCTTTTTTTTTCTGAAAAAATAAAAAATATTTTTGTAATATCTAACATTTGTGAGCGTGCCTGGTGAAAGGACCCAAAAGACGCATTTGTTAGAACCGAGATATCAGGCTTCAAAGGTCAAAAATAGAATTTTTGACAAAAACTAAGTTACATTAAAAGTGGATTCTTTAGCCATTTATATATTGATATTTACAAGGACTTAAGCTTCTGTTACATTGAAACACATTTTAAAAGACATTTTTAACACGAGGTATATTGCAGAATCCCCCAAAAATGCATAAGAAAATTGTTTTTCTGAGTAAACACTCTTGTCCATTCATAAAGTCGACCCAGTCAATGCACACCAAAATTTAGGTCATTCTCTCCCCTCTTAAATGGTGGGTAGTGTGCATGAATATCTAGAACATGTAACCAAAAGCGAAGCTTTGCACGTCCACATTGTCGTTTTTTAAAATTTCTGCAGAATATTCTTTTTGAATTTTTAAGATATCTTTAGTTTTTGAGATATGGGTGATTCAAAAAGAATATTCTGCAGAAATGATGTCTGAACATGAAACTGCACATAAAAAAACCCGGGATTCTTCAAAATGCGTCATTGGTACCTTTCACTAGGCACACACACATTTAAGCTGTAAAACTAGATAAAAGCAAAAATGTAGAGGTAAACACCCCCAGAGAGTTCATCATTAAACATCCTCACAAAATGCTCCTATTCCAAGATCCTACAACATTCCCAATATTTCAGACATTTTTTTATAGTATCACACATAATAGAAGGGCATGGGAAAAAAATCACCTTGATGCGGGCACCAGAGAGGCGCATGATGTTTTTTATGTTTTGACCCTTGCTTCCGATTACAGCTCCAACAGACTTTTCAGGGATATACAACTGAACAACTTCTGGTTGTTGTACAGCTTGGGACGGCCCTCCTAAAGTTGCTGGATAGTATGCTGAGCCCTGAAACAGAAATACTCTAAAATAAACCAAAAGGCTCTTCTACAGTAGAAATTTAATTCAGCCCAAAAGCATCAGCAGGTTTTCAGACCCTAGTACCATTATTTCAAAGGATTCAAGATGTTTTGTAGGTCTATAATCCTCATCTCAGCTCTCATTCCTTTTAAACACTAATTTGGTTTTGCTCTTCTTTAATGTAAGTCCAACATCTTATAGGCAACCACGAAGGGCACAAAGCCAAAAATTACACATTTTCACGACCTGGTGAAGTACCAGGTACGTCCTAAGACAGATCAAAATACACAAAATATTCAGATATATCAATCTCGCATTGTATTAGACATTTACCTAACAAAATATGTTCTGCTATGAGCAGGGTGATTTAGTGCTGGGGGAAAATATGACAGAAACAAAAGAGGGAAGGAAAGTAAACAAATAGCACCTACAAGTGGAGCCCTCAATACACCTGTAAGCACTCTCAGAATGAAACAGAAATTCAGCATAAAAAAAAAAAGTTTGACAGTACATTATACTGTGATTAGGAAAATATGTGATGTATACGTATTCAAAGGCTTTAAGTATGAGAGGTTATATGTAGGCCTACAATACTGATAATGTTCAGAATGCTCATTAGACTGTAACCAAAGAAGTGCTGCAGCTTCTGAATTTTAAAAATAGGGATACAAAAAAAGGGCGCCTGCAAAAAAGGGCTTTTATGTAAATAACAAAAGGGGGGAAAAGTACTGTTAATATGCACGGCACTAGTGGAATTAAACCAAAAAAATCTAGGGTTCCCAAAAATCTATTCAGCACAATAAACCAGTACTAGTATCCTACCATGTATGGCATTGGTGGCCTCATGCTTTGAAATGGACTCATGCTGGGCATCAAAGGGAGACCAGGCATCCCAGAAAACATGAGATGCTGTTGGGGGCCAAACTGCAAAAAAGGAGGCAACTCTGTGAAACAGTCAACCCCAAAAGACTAATAATGGAATGATTATCAAGCATTTTTTACATTCTAACATCCCAACCCCCCCCCCAAATTTATCTTGCATCACCACGGAATATTGTGCTTTAATTTCAAAGCACAGGAGGTGATGCCTGTCCATAATACATTACACATGAAAGGTAACAAAACAACAACAGTAATAGAGAAGTAACTAAATGTTTCCTATTAAAAGCGATACAGCAAATAAAGGCTCTTTGGAAGGCATAATGATGTTTGCCACCATCATAGACATACGACTTAGGTGCCAAAGATAAATTACGTATGAATTAACATGAGAGGCACATTAATGGTTTCAAAAGCCTGAAATACCTGCTCATGTGAATTCTTGACGTTAAAGAGAAAACAGCAATAAACTCTTTCACCGTTCTTTTATTCAATTTATCTTCAGGCATCTGGACATAATTTCAAGCTCATACTTTATTTACCACTAAAATATCATCACTAGTTTAAGTGTGCAATGCAATTGAAAAAACATTCTTAACACCATGGTGTTACAAAAACAAAGTGGAATCACCATAAACATAATTATACCTTTTTAACTTCCCCAGAGCATAATGATTAAAATAAAAGCTGGACTTAAATTTTCTTGAGCAGTATCACTTTCTGTAACTATGCAGAGGGAAAAACACAGCATTCCCATATTATGCCAGCACTACCAAATCACACATTATACTTACTTGGAAGGATCCAACATCTTGTTCAAAGCACTGACGCATCTTTTCTGAAATTTTTCCTTCTGCTTTGGAACAATTCTCAGTAGACCCTGATATTGTGATAACTCTGTCCATGTAATTGTTACCAGTATCCATGAGACCACCAGGATATGGGTCAAAGCTGAAAACGAAGGAGGACATATTCAAAAACATTTTTATCAAACTAAATTTTACCATTAACACATTTTGTACTTACCCATGCTCACAATTAGTCCCTGTGCCCGCACACTGGGGAACCCCCCCTCCCATTTTGTGATACCTAAAAAAAAAACCCATCTTACATTTAATCACAGTAGCTTCCCTCGCACAAATAACATGTGATAAAACAGCGTAAACACTGCACATAAGCCATCTCCCAGCCTCCTCGTGCATTTATATGAAATCCAGGTCAATTCAGAAAAACATCAAATGCTGATGAAAAAAGTTTTTCCTTGTTACAAAGGTGCGTGTTGTTCATACGTTTGTGTATTAAAAGCTAAGAATCGCCATGGAGAACAAAGTCCCTTGTAGTAGAATACACGGGTAGCCCAGCGCGTAAAAAAATTGACACCCAAACATGCATGGTTTATTTGAATGCTTCGCATAAAGATTGATGATTAAATAGTCTTTTCATTGGCAGAGAACTAAAGAGGTTTGAATGTAACCAGGAGTATATTTTAGTCTTTAGGGTTTACATAGAAAGCCTTTAAAAATAATGTCAAAGTTTTCAGTTATTTTTACACTAAGTAAAAAACATTGGCTCCAATAAGGCACCAAAAGAAAGGGCTGTTCATTTTTGTATTGGAATAAAGTCTTAAAGCTGAGAATATTTCGCATTGATCCTTCTGTAAAACTATCAACACTGGTAACACCCAGAACACTACAACCTAGAGTTGAACTGCTAGATGCAGGTGCCAGAGTGATGCCAGCCAGGAGAGAGATCTCAATTTTTGTGCAAGTTACAACAAATTTGCATTTTTGAGGTAATAAAATCCTGATTTGCAAACATCTATATCTTGAAAAAAATTAGGCCCTATCTATGTTGGTCACTAGTGAATGTACATTACAGTGTGTTCCAACTTTTAACAAATTCGAAGTGGTGATTCCTCACAGCCAGACCTTGTGGTTTTGTACTAAAACATGTTTCAAAGAATTATTTTAAAAAAATCAAAATAAATATCTCACCTTGAAACAACAATGTTTGTGCTGGTATCCTCCATGAAAACTTTGATAACATTGCCCTGTTTTCCAATAATCCGGCCACAAATGCTGTTAGGACATAGCATCTTCAATGGCACATTGCTGAAAAATAAGGAAAATAAATTTAAAAAATAAATGTACATTTACTATATAAAAGACACTGTAATATGTTAAAACAAAATACAAGGCAAGGAAGTGGCAGTTAGCATTCAAATGACAAGTAATTCTCCAGACCTTGATGAAAACAAAGCCAGGCTTTCTATTTCAAAGTTCCCATTTCAGGTAAATTCAGTTATTTTCAGGTATTTTGGCAAAAAAATCAGTACAAACACAAAGAAGGAAGAAAGGGGGAGGGGGGAAGAGACGGATATTTCCCCGCTACAAAAGTTTTCATCGGGCGGGGTTTGCTTTTTGTGTTTTTATATAATTAATATAAAAACACAAAAAGCAAAATCACATCTTTAAAAAGTTTGTGTGTGTGTATATATGTGGGTGGGTGTTGTGTTGATTGATTGAACAAGTAGACGTTTTATGGGACTATCGACTCAGTGTGTGAGTGTGTGTGTGTGTGTATTTTGTTGAGTGTTTATAAGTGATGGTGAACAACGTTGATGAGATAAGAAGTTATCTTTTTACCATTTTTAGCTTCTGGAAAAAGGAGGTATTCCTGTAAAAACCTTGCACACTAAAAAATTCACAGAAAAATTTTTTTTCTGTAATTATCGGGGAAAAAAACTGAACTGTATTAGAAAAAGAATACTGCTTCCAACGAGCCAGTTTTCATTGTGGCACAGTAGGAGTAAGTTCATTATTTCTCCCCTTATTGTTGGGGACTGTCTAAAATATGAACTACTAATCAGATATATATAAATAAAACTACCTACCCTCTTTTCAGAGATTCAGCCTCTTCTTGGACAACTCTCATTATTTCTTGGCAAGCCTTGCTGCAGCTCTCGGGTGATCCTTTGATGGTAACCATCTGAAATTATGTAAAAATGGTTATGTTGGTTTACATTCAATGCTGAGCCCTTCAGTTCAATAAATTCAAAATACAGTGAAACCCGAGTAAGATGGCCACGCATTGTTGAGGCCGTATATGACAGAGGTTTACACACTGGGCGGGCCTAAACACATAAGACTATGACAAATCACACGCTTCCCTCACCAGCAGCTGCAAATGTATTGTTACCTATGGGTAAACATTGGGAGCGACCTAAGCAACATGATCATTGAAGGGACTAACGATAATGACTGGTGAATCGATAATGACGGCTCGTCCACAGTGTCAGGGGCCAATATATAATTTATGAAAGTGTCTGGTGATGAGAGATTTGCCTGACCATCTCAAGACAGGTCGTCTTTTTTTGTTTGAAAGTTGATAAAATGTGGTGGCCACAGGCCTGTTGGACAAGTGACCATTTTACAGTGAATTTATAATATATAGAAAAATAGAGCAAGGGGGAAAACAAAGTGGCCATCTGTACAGGTGGTCATAATGACAGGTTCAACTATATTTGGACATCCACAGGAAAATTTGTTTCATAACTCTTCTGCTGTTAAAAATATCCCTCTAAAAAAAGACCCCCTCCCCTCTCCCTGAAAACAATGTCAGCTAACAGCAATAAAAAGACCATCTTGAAGATTCCAAGAGCTGCTGGATTAACAAATTAAAACAGCATCAAATAATTCAAATAGCACTCCACTCATCTTCTCGATAAACATGTTTCCAAAAGTTAAAAACAATGGGAAAAAAAAATACAAAGGAATCCTTCCTCACAGACATGTTTCCATTCCAATATACCTTACATTGTATTTAGTAGTGGTTAGAAATATGCACTTGCAGGATAATGTCTTTCAATTCTATGGTTTTTAATAATTTATTAGAGAATTTTAAATTTTAGTTTTAGTAGAGGTTTTACGGCGCTTGCAACTGCATAAGGTCATATGAGCGCCATGGGGTGGATGTAAACAGAGAAGTCCTTGCAGGAAATCAGACTTACTCTGCTCACCTCTCTAGTTTCACCAGCACAAAGTCTGTTTTGACTATCGAGGCACCCTGGAAATAGCGGTCACAAGAGTGTGACAAACATATAAAAGTAGAGTATTTTGATTGATTGAGTAGGTGTTTTACGGCAGTATCGCCTCAATTTTGGTCAGAAGTAGAAGAAAAAATGAAGATAGTAAGGATTAGGAAAGAAAAAGCAGCAGTTTCGTGTTGCAGTTCAAGCACAGTTATGAGCATGACATTGAAGAATCAGCCCATTTGCAATTAGAATTCTACTGTGCATAAGAACAAGTTAATGTCCCCCCTCTGGGAAAGGCCTAAAGACACTTCAGTCAGTAGCACTGCCTCGAGGGTGATTCATTAGAGAATAAAAATGAGGCCACACACAGAAAGCAGCAGTCTGTTGTTAATTATGGAGTTCTATTTCAGTCATGTTCTTTTAGTATCTGAGGTAGCCTACATCTGTCCAAACTGATGACAGCAGTTTTGAAATATGTGGTGCTTGGACAAAATGCAAGGAAACCATAACTTCTGAAGATGAGAACAGAGCAAGCAGTGAAAACTTCTTTATATGCTTACTCAAGCGTACTAAAAAAATATTTTAAAAAAGACAGAAAAAGAGTAAAAAAGGAAAGCAAGGCAAGGCAAAGCAAAGATCAAGCACAATTCATCCGAGCGAAGTTGTTTTCACACACAAAAAAGCAGTGCAATAAAAATAATTTTCCTTTATCAGCCATGTGTACATCTAAGATCCAAGTTTCAAAAGCATACAATCATGCAGAGCTGGCAACCTCAACTCATGAAAAAGTGTAAGATTAATAAAAAAAAGTGTACAATCATGAAACGGAAGGAAACTTTATTAGTGAGAGATACATTCAACTTTTTTGCGGCTGATGCGAATGACTGAACATTGGACAACGGGACGGACAGTAGGCCTTGACAAAGAACTAGGCTGGCTGGATCAGTGGCGCTAGCTATCTTAAATTTTGAGATACAAACAGTATTAATCGCGAAAGTAATCAAGCCACACACGATTTCCGCCTCAGTCCTCAGTGCACTCTGTAATAGTATCCGCTTTGGGTATTAACCAATGACTTCGATACCAGAGCTTTCTACAACTGGCTGACGACGAGTACCAGCGTGGCTCCGTACACTGAGAAAGTGCGAACCAGAATCGGTGAAAAGACGTATAAGCACACAATAGCTGAAATAGGTGTACAATGGCTGAAATAAGCGTAAGACTACGCTTTTTGGGCATAAGATTGGCAGCTCTGAATCATGTACGACATCATTAATAACGAAAATCTTCAAAATGGTCATTGTGCACTTACAGTATCTGGAATATGGCTTTCTCTCCGATGAATGTCAACCCTGTGGTGAAAACCATACACAACCTCACATACCAAAATAAAATGTGAACCATCAATACAAACAGTACCTTGATCAAAATGCATTTCAAAACCAATCCATTAAAAAAACCAATATAGAGCTTAGAGAAAGGGGATCAAACTAAATCAATCAGGGGGTCAAACTAAAATTACACATACCATTAGCATTACAGGCTCATTGAGCAGTGAAAAAAATCAACTTTTAAATACTAATACGAATTAAAACTGACAAAAGTTAAAATAAAATAACTAATCAAAGCATTCCAATTTTTGCTCTTATGCAGATTTGTCAGATGTCTGGCATCTTTTCGGGGTAAGAAATTTGTTTGTTTGGGGTAAGGTTTTGTGTTCTGGAAATTTTCAGGATGGACTACCTAAAATTCTCTTGTGCAAGATATAATTGTTCATTAGGGAGTATTCGGCCCCCAGGCCTGAATTCGACACTTGTAGCTTAGAGACATCTGACAAACTTAAGTTGGTCTTCTATACAATTAAAAAAATATTTGTGAATTAATTATTTTAAGGCAAACATGTTACTATTTAGTTTATTTCCATCTAAAACCCACAAAGCAAAAAAAAGTATCCCATTAAAGAGTCCTGTGGGGGTGGTATCTGAAAATTGAAAAATGAGAGTATTCTTCACTTTGCTTTGAAGAAAGAGTGCAATAATAAATAGGCACAAAGTCTCCACTGCTACAGTTGCTGAAAACCCATCCCCCTTCTCAACATGAATTTTAACCTGTAAAAGCTATTGTTAACATTTATAAGTGTCTGTAGAGATAGTAACATTATTAGAAGTCTCCTTTGTAAGCAGTTTGAAGAATCAAGAGAAAAAACAAAGAAGAGACCCATAAAACAATTCTCCTCTTTCCATCTTTTGGGCTTAATTATTGCTTTCTCTTTCAATCATACAATCAACATCACAACCCCTCATCACTGACTTTAGAAAGTCCCCAACCAGCTATAAGGCAGGAATCAGGAAAGTAACAGCAAAAAAGAAACCTGTCAGAAGTACCAAGTCATAAACAATAAACATACCTGGCCCGGCTTTCAGAAGTAATTTTCCTGATAGTTAGTCCTTGTTTACCAATTATAGCACCAACATAATCACTAGAAATAATAATTCTGGGGAAAAGAAATAAACACCTTACCTTGATGAAACGAACAAAAGAACAGCTATAATTATAATCACAGGCTACTTTTAAAAAATAATATAAACGGCAAGAGCATACCCATCCGCAGGGCAAAATAGAATGTAATTTTTATCTCTCTAGAATGCTGTATGTTAAGCTTTGGGAAAACCCGATGAGCCATGTGAACTTGAACATAGTAAAAGTGTAAGTAGTTCTTGATTGAATACAGAAAGATAATGCCATTTTCAATGGAAATAATGTCAACAACTGAATCTTTTGCTCTGTTGTCTCTATTTGCAAGGAAAATCATTGGTGACAAATTTTTTAGGACATGTTAAATGTCTACCTTGCTGAATGCCCATCTTAAGTATGAAATGTAAATATTGGACAAGAAAGTTCAAATCAGGCTGTCTTCATCACCCATCCCCATTTAAAAAAGAAGGCAAATGTGCAACCTTCAAGTGAAAAGTTGATGTTCTGTTTTTGAGACATAGTGTCATCGAGGCTGACTACTTAAATGGTCATAATTACTGAAGACTTAATTGGTTTTGTTATGATGAAACTATATTTATAATCTACCCTAAACAATAAAAGATGACAGAAGCTAGCAAAAGGAATCCTCCTGATGTACAACAGTTTTCCAGCACGCAGAGCTGTGAAGGCAAAGCAGTGTGTCTACGAGATCCTCTTGCAACCACCCTATTCACCAGATATATTATATTGTATCCTCTGGCTTTTTCTTGTTCCTAATCCCAAATCTGAAAAGTTCTCAAAGAACAGTGTTTCCACGGTGATGAAGATGCTACATCGCTATATCCACAGTGCAGGAATGGTTCGGTTTCGGTCATATTATGCTCAAAGACTTTTGAAGGTCAAACAAAGACTGCAAAAGTGTCAATTCGCAGGATGATTAAGTAGAGAAGTAGCATTGTGAGTACCAAATAACAGTATAGATTGCTTCTTTCATAGTCAGGGTAAAGACTTATTGAACACCCCTCATACTGTGACTAATGAAACTAGGAAAATCAGAAGAGAGTGCAGGGTGAGTATAAAAAAATATACCCTTGGAAAAAAATATTCATTACTTCGTGCTGTACAAGAATCATTTCCAAGTAAGAGCTATGGAACAACTAACTGGTGATCAGAGAGTATAAAAGCTGTGTCAATTCAGAAATCAATCTAGGTCTAGAGCAAAGAAATGCAGAAGGGGGAGGGGGGTGATGAGTTCATAAAACTGGAAACGCAAGACATGCTATGAATAGCAACATTGTATAGGCTACATTTTTGCCATTCTTTCTTCTGTTACGATGCTGCGATAGTTCATTTGCAGACCAGAGACCACATATAAACAACATCAATCAATGAAGATGGTATCATTTGAGTTGGAAGTCCAAGACTTTGTTAATCCTGATGATGACAAACTCCCCACTCATATAAAGGAACATGCTAATAATCTACTTTCAGCTTAAGAAAATTGGCAGTGTAAGAAATTATTTAACTAAAGCAGCTGCCAAGACACTTGTAACAACACTCATTTTATCAAAGTTAGATTACTGTAATGTTATTTTGTCCGGTTTGACATCCGAAAAACTATCAAAGTTACAAGTACTCCAAAATCAAGCAGCAAAATTGATAATGAAACAAAAGAAATCAGCCCATGTAACACCAATTCTGAAAGAACTACACTGGCTGCCAATAAAAGAAAGGATTAAATACAAAACTGCCGTTCTCTGTTTTAAATGTATAAATGATAGTGCACCTTTATATATAAAACATTTCTGGAATTATAAAATCCACCTAGAGCTCTTAGATCAACCTCTGACAATCTAATTCTTAAAACTCCAAAACAAAATTACAAAACATACGGCGAGCGTTCCTTTTTGTTCTTTGGTCCCCAGGTATGGAACGAACTCGCATATAAAATAAGATCTGCCCCAACAATTTCCATTTTCAAAAATCAGCTGAAGCATTTTTTATTCACAAAAGCATACCTGTCATAATGATGTACTGTGATATTTTTGCATGTGTATGCCAGACTGTGAGACTGAAGAAATAGCGAGTGAGAATGAGAGAGAGAAAAGAGAGAGAGATAGAGGGAGAGGGAGAGAGAGAGGGGGAGAGAGAGGGGGAGAGAGAGGGGGAGAGAGACAGAGAGAGAGAGAGAGAGAGAGAGAGAGAGAGAGAGAGAGAACGGAAATGTTTTTCTATCTGTATAGAATTAATGTTTTAATGAATGTTTCTAGTTACTCACGTTTCAACTTTATTTTGACTGTTCGTGAATTTTTATTGCATTGTATATTTTTAGTGAACACATTTTCAACCTCACTGCGAGACTGTTTTTCTGGTATAAAATTTTACACATATGCATTTATATTATATGTATAATACTTTGTTTTACGTACACATTTGTGTCGATTAAGTTTTAAGATGTGATGTCTTTTTCATTGTAATGCGCATTGAGTATCTTTTAGGAAATGGAAATGCGCAGTATAAATGCTATTTATTATTATTATTATTATGACAACAAGGGAATGTAGAATTTGCCTTTCTTTAACATCCCAGAAATTTAAAGCAAATGACATTATTCCCACCCCCAACCTAAATCATCATTTACCGCAGTGGAAGTTCCTGACGAGAGACACCAGGGTTGCTGCTGGAGTTACTTCTGTTTGATCGTTTTTGATTCCGGAAAAACTCCACCTGAAAGCAAACAAATTAATTTTAGAGCCCCTGAGCATAGGTAGTTAAGTAAATTTAATTTTTGTTCACAGCACAGCCAACATTCTATTGGAATTCTTTCTCTTATTCTGGAAACCACTACAGTAAGCCTCACTTGTAATAGTCTCGATAACAACATGATATTGGCTATCACAGACATACAATAAATCCCCAAGTCTTGTCTCTTATAATGTATAGAAAGTTTTTAAAATGTTTTATAATAGCAGGCATTCGGACAGACATGTCCGGTAAAAACATAGGTTCTGTCACTTACAAAATCCTAAAACAATGGACAAGACAGAAGAAAAAAAGCAAATGAAGCAAAACAACATCCAACATGGCAAAAGCATCTTGCACCTACATGACCCACAGGCGGTTTAAGTTGCTTGAGTACACATTTTATGATGTATCTTACTGTGTGCAGAGGAGGGAAGGGGAAAGTTGGACCTACTGGCACAAATTTTCCAGTGCCTCAGCATGATGTTGGTCTGGCACCACAAAATCATGTCGTCTCCCCTCGGAATGATGAGATTTGTACCAGGAATTAATGACAATGAAAAGTTGTCACTGGGAACCAGATGAGTCTCAGATCTACATGTGTTCCTTTTCTAAACTGTGGCAACTATTCGACTACGAATAGTTGTACAGCGCACAGAGCATGCTACAGTCACTGAGGGTGTGACTGGTTTGTAAGGGTAAAGTATTGAAATACTAATTACATTGATCAGTATCAATAAGGAAGGAGAAAAGTTGACAATTTTGTGAAATAAGCAAAATTGGCCTTTGAAGGGAGGAAGGATGTATTAATAATAAATAGCATTAGTACAGCGCATATTCCCGCTCAACAGCAGGCTCTATGCGCTTTACACTATATTATTACCCCAACAGACCATAGAACGCTCCGAAACATTCTCAGCTTCCCGGAAGCATACAGTGCAAGCAGCTGATTAAGCGCTCAAACACTAACAAACTGACAAGATCTTTCGCTGTCTATAGCTGGGTACCCATTCCCCCTTTACGGGATTCGAACCCACGACCTTACGGTTGCGAGTCCGAGATTGTACAGCACCTAAATGCTCTCCACTTAGTCTGAATGAACTGACGTGACCCCTGACTATTAAGTCTTTTTCGAAGTCAGTTTTAGTTGATGTGGGCTTATAACCCATGGAGAGCAAAACGTGGTTAACCTTTTTCACCAATCACAATTGTCTCTTCATAATTTGAAGAGGCATGCCATTTCCACTTATCCAATAATGAGCTTTCAGTTCTTGGTCATTGCTGCTCTCCTTAACCTGTCCAAAAATTATAGCTTTCCATCTCCGACTGAATTTCCCGCTCATGTCGTAACGTATCATTGTGTTGCGACGGCACCAATCAAAATTTGAGAAAGAACAAAACATGGCTGGACGACTAACAGATGACTACATCAAGCAAGTGCGAAGAATGCACACCATTTTGCCTAGCAAATGGCTTTAAGGTGAATTAAAATGCAATGATCAGGGAAACAAAAGCACGAGTTCAGTTCGATATCGTACAGTTCGATGTGGCCATGTAGGTCTTCCCACTCAGAGTATGATGTAAGTTCAGACAGTAGACTCAAATGTGAGTGCAACGTTTGGCAAAAACAAGCATGGTGACGAGTTCACACCTCTGTGTGAACCTGTCTGGCGCAAACATTGCACCCAGTCATCAATATTTACACCAGGGCTATGATCACTCACTTGAGAGGATGAATCTGTGATGCAGGCATGGGGCAATATTTTGATTGTGAATTTTATCTGTTTGGTCAATCAGCTGCGCAGGTCCGAGTTTTTTGTTAAGTAAATTATGAGCTGCAAAGAAGGACCTTAGCTGAATATAGATCACGGCATACAAACAGCGCTCTTTTAGTTGGCTGGGCGATGGAGTGACCGGGTCACGGCGGGCCGGTCACATAGAGGTCACTCACCCGACCTCCCGCTACCTGCGTCGGTAGCCCATGAAATGAATTTTTCAACACATGTTTCATCGTCTTAAACAAATAAAAAATATCATACGTGAACACAAGTTTGTTCTTTAGAGAAAGCAACTAAACTTCTTTATTGGTACGAAATAGCAATACCATGGCCGCTCACGTTTTGGAGTTAGATGCTCTTAAAATGTATGTCTATTTATAGTCAGTAAAAAAACCCCACATATTGAGTGGCTAATAACTTATTAGCCTAACGATAAATATTTACCAAACTGCCACGTAAGGCAGGCAATTATGTTAAGAAATTGACTCACTCAAAATGTTTCAAGCATGATCATGGCACGTGTCATGAGCATGATAGCCAAAACGCTTCCCTGCATTCCTGACTTTTTGTATCCAATGGAATGTGTATCCTCCTGAATAATGATATACTGACGTATTTTCAATATACAGCGCCAATTTCTTTTCACAAAATGAACATGTACAGAATAAAAGTATAAATTTATACAATTTTTCTTTCTAAACATATCCAGCAGCACACAATGAGGGAGCTATTAGCAGGAGATGCGACACAAAAATAAAACGCATTATGTCTCTCTGGTTTGGGATCTTTCGTGCTCTGGCTTCCAGTTTTGAGATCGCTTGGTGGCTGCTTTCTGTGTCCTATTCTCCTAAAAGCCTGAGAGCAAACATGTGTTGTTGTATGTGTGGAATACAGTGTTGCTATGATATATGTTGCTTTGGGATGACTTTGCAGGGAAATAGCGTCTGAATGCGGCCATATTGTCGATTGCTACAAGATTTCTGGAAGTGAAAATTGTTCGACTGGTTTGAGATGTGATATTGCAGCGTGAACATGGTTAAATCTTTCATTGAGAAGATTGAATATTGCTTCCAGTCCACTTGCTTCCTCAAGTTTTGCAGTTTCGCGGGAGTATTTTCTTGTTTCTGTACAAATTGTGTTTGTTAATTCCTTGCATACATGGGGATGGAGGGAGGTATGCTTGGGGTGTTTTGCGATGTTTGCTTGAAATGGATCTTTGTATGCAGTCACCCAAGCAGTGCCGACAAAACGGAGAAGGAATTCACATTTATGCTATTGTCAAACGCACACCACATGTTCCTACTAGCGTCAACAGCTTTTTTGCGGCATGAATTGATGTGACGTAACACCATATCTCCTTTTGATAGTTGAAATCGCAGTAAAACATTTGACACAAATGTTAGTGGAATACGACTGTTCATTTTCGTCCCATTTTCATCAATCCCATAAATCAAGAGAATATCTCCTATTGTCTTATATAATCGGGGCTTTCTGTACTTTTTTGTTTGACAGTTAAATTCAAACGCCAACACACCCGACAAAGTTAATTCAGAGACTCTCTATGCCTCTCATATGTGTGACCCATTGCAGTTTAACAATTTTTACTTAGGAACACAATTCACTAACTCATTGCCAGTCACTGCAAAGAGCTGGAAAAACAAAATCCACATCATTAGAAAATATGATTTGATGGCTATCACACAGCGTAAACAGAAATAAACACCAATGTTTCATTTTCGAATGATTTGTTATTAAATTTGAAGAGATCACAATATTAACGGCGCTTCCCATCACTTAACACTCACAATTTAAAACTGTTATTCCCAAACGAATCAATGAAAACTGTTGAAACTTTCACAAGATACCAAGAAGACGTAGATGAAGCGAAACTGGTGAAGAAGTAGATTCTAGGGGTAGAGTGAGCATCATTTTACGGCTCATGAAATTAGGGGAAGAAACGCGATCTGATAAGGACAAGATAGGACAGCGCTGTGCACGAGTTGACCGCGGTCAATCCCCGACTTGACACATGAAATTGCAGCTCACCTGCCGGTGATTTATAGGCCTACCGCGGGGGGGCCGGACTAACTAAATGATCGCTGAGACAAAATTTTGGACGCCGTGAGATAGCCCTTCAGAGCTGGATCTCGTGAATGAAAAATTGTGTTGAAAAATTGTTTTCATAAAACGGTGGGAGCTTAAGAGAGCCGGGATCATGAACGAAAGAGTTTTAGGCGCACACTGCTGTATTGTTTTTCTCTTATTACCATTATCATAAAGTATGTTTAAACGTTTGGTTTGCTCAACTGTATAGTAGCTCACCTTGAGTTGAGTTCCATCTTCAAATCTGTAATCATTCAACTGTTCCACACATCTATTTCAGAGAAAACAAAACAAAACAAGTTTACGAACATGGAAGCTCAAAATAAATGAGCAAAGAGAATCCTAATTTCTTTTTAACACAAAATTAAGTACATTATTCTATTGAGTGGGTACCAAAGCGGTCGACGACAAAAACACCGGGTCCATCAGTTAGGCACATCACAGACATTAGATTCGACAGGTTTGTTCATTATTTAATTTACGGTGGTAACTGTCCCAAAGTCATAGGTGCAAACAGGGTGCTGGATAAGGAATTAACAACATAAAAAAAAAAAAAAAGTAATTTCAATTACTTTAGGATCATTAAATACTCACTCTTCTGCTTCTTCTGGGGTACTGAACGTCACATAAATAGCACCTTCTGAGCCAACTGAGGGAAACAGAATTTTGTTTTAATCAATTTAGTGTAATGGGCTTTCTAAAACACAAAACACGTATTTTTGTTTCAAGCCGTTTATTTTAACCATCAAACTTGGTATTTCCCCTATGTCTTCATGTTACCATCTAAATCTAAAAGTGGTAATTTATTCTTCTAACACAGGGCACGCTCCTTACCAATTGGCAGTTTTAGTAAAAAGGCAAAAAAGATACTTAAAAATCCTATCTGCGTGATCTGACACAGTGTCTTATCAGTCATCTGACACAGTGTCTTATCAGTCACAACTCCAGTATATACGACTCGCCCATGGTGATGAGTCTGCAGAGAAGATCCAGAGAGAAAAGTATCCATATATATTTAACTTAAAGCAATGCAGAGCTGATGGAACCTTTCATTGTTACCAGCAATGAATACCCAGAGAAATGGGTCAAAATGGAAAGATGAGCACACTTGATACTACTATTGTGGTCATGTCACTTTGCAAATTTCTGCCCTACTGACAGCCATAGTTCAAATTTACACCATATTCAAACCTGCCAACCACATAAAGAATCGGGAGTCTCCAGAACCCTTATAGATTAGGATTATATAACAAACCAAGAGTGGCAAATAGAGATCAACCAATGGAAGCGGAATTCCAAGACAAAAAGATGCAGATCCGATCGGGGTTCCTCATCCGGTTAAAAAAAAAGAAGCTATTTCACTGCAGTACTTGGCAGTTCGGCATATTTGTTAACATCATTCTATAATCCTTGAAGAAAAGAAAAGCACCTATTATGCAATTAAACAATTACATCAACTGTTTGCAAATAACCCTCTGAATCGTATTGAGACCCACAAGTTTTTATTTGAAGTACTCAACTACACACTCACCTTGTTCAAACTTTTTGTGATTCCTTGATGTAACATTTACAAGCTCTTCTATTTGTTCCTTTGAACAGTGAGATGGTACATTCCGAATCTGAATCTTGTTGGTTCTTGGCCTACAGGAAACCAATGATATAACAATCGTTAGCATTGGCCTATAGCAAATCTCTTATGGCAATCCATGGGAAAGACACCAGAAAAATGTACCGGTCTGGTGATAAAATATTTTAAAATCTTTTTTAAAATCTATTTTGACGAGTAATTGTATGAGGAATCCATTTCTGATGTTTGTTTTGGTTGAAAATATACTTAAGACTTGAAAAATTGCGGAAAAGAATGCAGTGTTTTTTATTTTTTAAGAACTCTAAAAATTACAAATTTGAGCCTCAGCACACTGATTTGCAAGCCATTCATTGAAAGTATCGTTGGAAACCCAAGACCAATATGTGAAAGCTTTTCTAAACCGATGATAGGTGAATTATTACAAGATGTAATGTGTCTTGTACTCATACTTTGTCATGATGTATCAAGAACGCAGAATAATAAATTTTGAATATATGATCAAAAGCCTGTCAGGTGTGGGTAGTCAGCAGAGGTACACAAACAATAACTATGTATAAAAATATTATTCCAAGGTGTTATTCTGCTTCAGACCTGAGCGCAACACATTGTCTCCATCACTGTACACTACACAATACTAACAAGTGAAAGTACAAACCTTTTCTTTCCATTAGATGGTTCCGCCTGCAACTGACATCCTTCCAGTGTGTACCCTGAATCAAGAGAAAAGACAATGGTTGCACTGAAACATATGCCAGGGCAACTTCTATTGCTCTTCGGTTCTACATGATAAAATTGTAACAACATTATGGCAAAACATGGATGAAATAAAGCTCACAGCTTGTGGGGATCTGTGCATCTGGTAAAGCTCATTGTAAAAGTTCAGGGTTTGACCTATTGCACAATCAGAAGCTCAAAGAAGGGACTGTCTTGGTGACGGAAGATGTCAAAAAAATCATTCCAAATGAAGGATTCAGTTCAATTTAAAAGGAATCTATGGAAGAAAATATCAGCCTAAAATCTAAAATAAATAAATGACTCAGGACCTATTAAAACTAATGGAAGTGGAAGAGGAAGGCAGGCCAAATCAAACATGGAAAAGTGTTATAGTTCCTTGAATAAGGAAATAAAGGAAAAATATAAGGATGCAATAGAAACATGGTTAAAATGACCAGTGTCAAGAAAATAAAGATAGCAAATTCATGCATTCCAACATTTTTTATTTTTTTTTATAGTAGAGGGTTTTAGGCGCTCGCAACTGCATAAGGCCATATGAGCGCCAAGGGGCGGGTGTCAACAGGGAAGTCTTTACAGGGAATCAGACTTATTCTGCTCACCTCTCTAGCTTCAACAGCACAAGGTCTGCTTCGACTATCAAGGCAACCCGGAAATAGCGGGTCACAAGAGTGACAAACATACAAAAGAAGTAGAGGAAAATGACAATAGTAAGGATTAAGAAAAAAAAAGCAACAGTTCCCTGTTGTAGATCAGGCATAGTTATGAGCGTGACATGAATCAGCAAATTTACAATTCTACTGTGCTTGAACGAGAAATGTCCCCCCTTTGGAAATGGCCTAAAGACACTACAGTCAGTGGCACAGCCCCGGGGGGTTCATTCCAAAATCAAAGATTAAGAAAAAGAGAAGTTTGGCAGGGATGTGTTGTCTCCAGACCTCTATAACCAATACAGTGAAACAATCCATAGAAACATACAAAAAAGTCCTGGTCTCAAAGTGAATGGAGAAAAAAACATCAGATATGCTGATGACACAGTTTCAATTGCAGATTCAGAAAAGGACCTTCAATTGCTTCTTGATACTGATATGAGACAGTGAACATGAATAATTTTATTTTTAAATAAACGAACATAAGATGCATGGTATTATCTAGAACAGCAGTCATTTGTCATAAGCATAGGTGAAAAGATCAAATGTGCTGCGACGTGGTGGAGTTGGGCATATATATGAGGTTTGGTATCATCTTAAACTTAAAGCCTGTCATTTGCCTTGCTTTTGGTGAAAAAATATCCATCTTACTAAGTAGAATAGAAGTTGAAATATTCGCGACTGAAGGAGGTCAGGGTCACTTGGTTTCAGAGGTGAAATTAGCGAGAAAATGGCCTCCAAAGTTTCGTAATTTCCATAGCTTGAGAGTGCTTGGAAACTGAAAATTGACATTTATTTTTTGTGCTTTTAATCAATGTTTTTTCAGTAAAATCCAGACAGAAATGTATTTTTAAATGGAAATATATATAACATTAGAAAAAAATTGCCCAACTGTCAGAAAAATGCCAATTTCTTTGATTTCACGATTTTGACGAGCGCCCGAGATCACCATGATGCCTCACAAATACGTTCCACGTCTCTTGGGACATATTACATCCAATGCTAAATGATCTAGAGAAATAAAACAAAGAATCACAAAAGCTAAAGACAGCTTCAAAGAAATAAGTCCAATCTTGAGAAAAGAAAACTCAAAGACTGCTAAATCAAGGGTTCTTATAGGCAATGCTGCAATGTGTGGTCAACACTTTTATACGGTATATATGTTACAGTCAAACCCGGAAACTAGTCATTCTCAGGAAATGCCTGAAAATTCAGTCATTCTCAAATAATTCATGTTTTGATCAGGCATTTCCAGGAATGCCAAAAAATATTTGTCATTTTCTGAGAATGACTGAAATAGGCAGTCAGGCATTTCCTAGGAATGACTACCATCGGAAAAAAAAATAAATGGCGGAACGACAGATGTAAAGTAAATGACAGGGGGTGCATGCGGTAACGTATTCATCCCGTTTAATGAAAACAAATTTAATAATAAAAAGTGATAATTAAATATAGAATGTTCATTTACATGAGCTCATTTGTTTTTGCTGTAGAGACTGGTGGCAACGACTATTACATTTTTGAGCTTTGCTTTGAAGCATTTGCATCTGTTAGTAATAGTTTGACATTTCTTTGATCTTAAACAGTTACATTTAATGTAACCTTGACCGCTACACTGAGAGCCAAATACAACCGCTTCTCTTAAACTGACATGTGTGGTGCAGTTAACATCAATCATCAGAAGAAATTTTTCAGGGCAAAAGTTCAAATTCGTTCCTGCTGTTTGCCCCTTTTAAAATTCCATGTTTGGTAGCCAGCGTGTAGTTATTGTTGTCACGTCTGTCCAAAACAACAGTCAAAATGTTTCATGGTTCACCACGGCCCCGATCAACAAGAGGAATAGGAATGGCAACATTGTCACCGTTCTGGCCTGGAGCAAGTCCTATTCTACTTCTTTTTACCATCCGTTCTGCTTGTTCCATCTGGAATTTCCTACTCTGCTCTCTATGAAAGTGTATTTGAGCCTGTCTAGCATCGAGAAGTGCCACGTTTTCAACAGTGCCAATGCCATCAACTTGGTCGACATGAGGATAATTCAGGCTTGTGGCTTGCCCGTTAGCAGCAGCAAATTATGTGACTTGGACAACGTCGGTGATTTCGTCGACAAGATGAGCAGCAACGTAAGCGATTTCGTCGACGTGATGAGCAGCAACGCCTGTGATTTCGTCGACATGAGAACGAGCTGCTAGAGCTGTTTGCTGGGCAAAGGCTCGTAAAACATCCGCGGACTGAAACTGGCCCAGCATTTCCGTTGGTATAGATGTTGAGGCCCACCCTTGGTTCAGTACCCAGCAGCGCCTGGTAAGGCGATCGTTTGACAGCAGCATTGAATGAGAGAGAGAGAGAGACAGACAGACACACAGGCAGGCAGACAGAAAGACAGACACACAGACAGTTAAAAACAATAGCTAAAACTGACCTGGCTTGAAGCTTGTATTGTCGAGCTGTTTTTCTGGCTACACCCAAAGTCGCCTGCAACTGATGTATAATTTCCTGATATTTTGTCTTGGGTAATAGGTAATTTCATACTTTTCAAAAAGCCTTCTTGTAAAAGTTTCTTCACAAGGATTTTCAGCCATATTCAAGCTTAACTATAAAGTGAATATCTAATGACAGGTTACAGGTTTGTAACTTTCGCTACTCCTCACTTTCACTCAACACAGTTAAATCAACACCGCACTCAAACCATAACTGTGACAATGTAAATAGCACTAAGTGATAGTCAAATGGTTTGCCTACTACTAGTGGTCAAAATAACAACCAAGCAAAGCTGGGAATCTGAGGCTTTAATTTTCGGTCATTCTCCAAGAGTGTCTAAAATTTTTAGGCATTCCCGGAAATGCCCGATCAAAGCAGGAATTACTTGGGAATGGCTGAATTTTCAGGCATTTCCTGAGAATGACTAGTTTCCGGGTTTGACTATAACATATATATATATGACTGCGAATAATGGAGAAATTACCAAAGTGAGGTGAAAATAAAATATTTAACAAATTAGGTTTCTTATAAGATCTTTTAAAAATTTCATGGAATTAAACAGGAAAGTATAGAAAAAAGCTCAAATGGGCCGCTTACTAATATATATGAAGGAAGTGACAATTTCTGGACACTTGACATTTTTGAACATCTTGCTCTCACGAGAAAACAAAGAGGCAGGGCTGGATCCAGAACGACTTCTTTGGAAAATCTACACAGATCATAGGTGACAAGGATACACCAAGTAAAATAGTTTTTTTAAGAGCATCCAAGCGGAGCAATGAACTGAGAATCATGATTGTCCATGTCTGTTCCAGGCCTGGCACTTTATGATAATAAGTTTTGCAATAAAATGCTGTTTCAGCACTCTGGAATTTTGTTGCAGCATCAACTTAAAAATATAATTTCGCAAAGGTGAGCTTTATTTTCAAACCTAACGATCATTTTTTTTAGCTCTTGAGAAAACAATATATTGTTGGTTAAAGTAGTCAAGAGAATGCCTTTTTTGCGACCTGAGGCAAAATTATTTTTATTCGAACTTCATTGCATTATAACACTTTAAGCCCAATTGCATAGTAATTTTCTGCACTTCAGACCAAATCTAGGGTTTCCAGGAGGGCAGTCGCCCGGAGGTAAAAAAAAAATCAGGGAGAGCATCGCCCTTTCTCCCCCCATAATTTAATAATATTTTGCAATAAGGTTTGAAATTTTCTTGCAAATAATTTGTGACTGTCTTAGTGACCATATATTTGTGTGGGATCTGGGGAAAAAAAATAGCCATTTGATCCCCAAATGCAGTGTATCTGTGTGAAGGAGTGAAACTAAAAATTTACCTGCTGCCCTTGTTCCTAGTTACTTGTACAGGGTAAGGACAAAGGAACAGCAGGACTTCATACTCAGAGGGCGAGTTTTCATTGAGGAGACATTTTCTGGACTTATTCTATTGTTTTCAGCTGCTAGTTCTGTTGGCTTATGGCCTGCTTTGAAATTTCAATGTGTAGCATCGAAAAAGTCGACAGTGAAAATAAATCGCAGAACACCATGAAATGATATGTAACACAAACTCATGAATTCATACTAAGCAGCACTAACCAGTTGGATACATTTAAATCTTATATTAATCATTTTTGAGCTTCAAAGAAAACATTTATACAGCTGACTGCTCTGTTGTCTCATTTGGACTTTCACAATGACATATGTACATGTAACAACAACATGCTTCCTGGGCAAGACATGCGTAGTTGAACAGATGAATGAGTACTTTTCGAGACTCACATGGAGGCATCCCGGTGGTCTTAGAAGGAAATCTATGGGCTTGCACTGAAATATGGGGTCTGGGAGCAGGGTAACATGGAGGCTCAGATTGTTTTGTTCATGTAAATGGGGGTGTGCCGGCCATGATGATGAGGATAAGAAGACCCCCTTGTCAGACACGCGTGAGGTCACTGCTGCGAGCTCCAGTATCGTATAAAAAAACCTCTTTGGTTCAGACTCAGTTTCTAGCTTTAACTAATTAACTGGGAACCTGCAGTTACAGAAGGACAATTTAAGATTCCGTTCTGACACAAAATTAGATAAAATACTCAATTATAGAGAGATGTGCTATTTTTCTGTACAAAATGAGCAGTAATATTTCACTAGTTTTTAACAAGGGGGTTTTAAGGGAGCTTGTTTCTACGACCGACTTTTTTTCAAACTGTCGAGCGTTGCCGGGTTCACATTTGCGAAGACGGTTGAAGAGGCCTTGTCGACCGAGGCTGTTTTGCTGCTCTCTTTCGCCCTCCGTAAACTCTGTTGCATTCGGACCACCGCTACATTATATAAATTTTTCACGTGAGTATTCCTGTGCTGTTTCCTCATTCACTTTGAGTTAGAGCGACAGTAGCGTTTCAGTCATGCCCCTGGGCCAATGGTGGATGATTCAGGGTGGCATGAACATAGCCTGCAAACTACGTTCACTGCGCCGTGAACAAAGCCACTGCGAACAAGATTTATTTCTACTAGATCTAGGCCTACCATTTCTGTCATCACAAGTCATAACTTGTCATATAAGTGCCATAGAATTGCTTCTCTTTATACTTTATATATCTAGAATCTAGTAGATCTAGATGTTTTTGCAAATGGCATGGAACTGACTAAGTGGAAGGAGTTCGTCAGAGGGCCGGCCGACCAACAACACACAAAAGAGATCCCCAACCCTATCTCTTGTATAGTTTGCTCAGTGGACCTTGTAACGGAACGGTAAGTGCCGGCCCTCTGCAGAACTCCTCCCGACTAAGTAGTAGCCTCTAGATAGTAGATCTAGATTTCTAAATCTAAATCTAGATTAGATATATTATCTAGACTTCCAGTGGCGTCACGTGGGTTGCAGACAAGGTGGTACATAATTGGAAAGTGAGCAAAAGGGCAATAAGCTTAGTAGCTACTTTTTAGATTTCAAGAGAAAGTCAATTAGAATCTGCAGGATATCCCGTAATCTAGATCTAGATCTATCGATATTTACAACTGTTTCTAAATCTAGATCTAGATCTAGATCTAGATGAAACCGCATAAAAGCTGCAATAAAGTGAAACAATTAATACTATAACTAACTCACTATGCTCACCATCTGAGAAGATTTAAAGATTTCTAATTACTTCGTGCAGCACCAGGACTTGCTACACTAGAGGGAGACAACAGTTTCGATACCCATTCTTCATTGAGTCACTAAAATCTAGATCTACCAGTGTAGTAGATAGGCTCGCGGAAACTTGGATGAAATTTTTAGCTTGCACCAAATTTGTGCCGCGAAGAGCAGTTTCATGCACCTTTCTTCTTGTGCGAGAAGGACGATACCTAGATTTCTGTACAGTACAATGACAAAAATAACTTTGGTGCAAAGATTTTGCTTGCTCCCAGCAGACACTACCGCAACAGGTGCGACGAGCAACCTCCTCGCCGTCTGTCTCTTCACTGGCGCAGCCAGCAGGTGACGGATCGCAAGGATTTAGTTGTAGATCTAGAGCACTGACTGGTTTAGAACAATTAAAAAAGGGAGGGGGGGGGGGGTGAAGGCCAGGGTTAGGTGGGCGCACCTTCCAACGACCTGTTAATTAAAACATGGTCGTGTTTGTCGTAAAAGTTTTGCAAGTTTATCATAGACCTAAAATGAAAGTGAAAGCAAGATCTACGCGCAAATATTCTAGATTACTGTGCCAAGCCATATGGCTCCTTGGCAAGTCAATAAACAGTCATTGTGAAAGACCTAGACCTAGATTAGATCTACATCTTAGACACAAAACAAGAAAAAGAAGAGAGGAATATCTTTACTACTGTTCCCATCCATACCATTCAGTTTCTTCACCATGTCATCCACTGTGTACTTGTCTTTCACTGTGACAAATGCAAAGTTTCGTTTCATTGAAATGCTGTTGAAAATAATGCCCTGTTGCTCCAGAAGTCGACGGAGAGTTGATTCGTTGACATCGCCAGGTAAATTTCCCAAAAACACTTTTTCCATCATATTGCAATAGTTAGCAGCTGACGACGCCGGGAAATTTCGTCGCTAAACAAGCGTCTAACGTGTCCAAAAGTTCTGCCCTACAAGATCAAAAGTACTATTTTCCAACAGAAAAAATAACGGAAGTAAACCAAGGATGGCGTAATAATACATAAATACATGTAATCAAGGGATTGCAGGATAGTATTATTCAATGTATACATCTAATATGACTTTATATCACCATTATGTTGCTTTTTATCACACTAGATATATAAATTTAAATATTTCAATTCATATAAATTAGAAAATATCTCTCAGTTGAAAATATTCAGAGCGGCTTAAGGTTATAGATTCACCCTTTGCCGGTGAAATAATGAACTCGTCCGAAAACTGTCGTTTCTTTTATTTTTATTTTTGTGTGAGACACGTGTTTCTTGCGCCCGCTTCACTCTTCGGCCTTCGGACATTTTCACTGCAAGAGGCCGGGCGGTGATAAGTGAAAATAGTACAGCTTTGGATAATTAATGTCATTATTCCACACTTTACTGGGAATGAAGACTGAGACAACGTTTTTACGAAACTCTTTGCTCTTCTTCCTTCTCCGGCTACTCACAGTCTAGGCTATTAATTAGCTCGATCTTCTCAGGCTTCGAAAAAAAAAAGTCGACTTAGTCTAACATTATAAGAGATCTAATTTATTTTTCCTCTCCACGCCATCTTCTTACATGCATTACGTTGGCCTTCCTGTGTCCAGAGAAACAACAAAAAAAGTTAGGATTCCGTTTAACAATGAGGTCAATAATTAACTTTAGATAAGAAAAAATGAAGAGAGAAGAGGCATCGTAAAAGACACGTTCACTTTCTAACGTTCACAGCATAGGCTAGTATCCTGCAGAGTGTACATGTACAAAGATGTACATTCGTCTGCACTTCATTGTACTAAGTTCAGCAGTTCAAACGTAAGGTCATTACAAACATCCGATGCCAAATTTTATGTAGTCTACCGCGCAAAAATAATTGTGATAGCTGAAGACAGTTTCCAGATTGACCACATAATATGTGTCAACAAGAAATTCAGGAGATCAATGGGATGTTAGTGTTTACAGGGGTGCAGACGTAGCTTCTGACCATCATCTGCTTATTTCAACAATCCGACTAAGACTAAAACAAAGACAGGGGATTGTCAATCATAGGTGCCGGTACAACGTGGGATTTCTGAGAGAGCCATCGTCAAGAGAGGAGTTTAATGTAGCAGTTAAGAACAGGTTCCAAGTGCTGGAAACACTAGGAGAGGATAGCAGCGTGGAAGAAACATGGGAGGCAATAAAAGAAGGCTGGACCACTGTGTGTCAAGATGTACTGGGGAAACAGAAACGTGAGCACAAGCCATGGGTATCTGCCACCACTATGAAGAAGACAGGGATCAGGAAAAAGAAAAGGGATCACGTAAACAGGAGAAAGATAAGAGCAGCCAAAGCAAAGGCCCAAGAAGAATACACCAAAGCAATGAACGGAAAGACAAAAGAATGTAGATGACCTAGCGCGCGAGGCAGAAGAAGCAGCAGGGGCAGGAATCATGAGAGGACTGTATGAAACCACCAAGAAACATGCAGGCAGATACAGGAACGCAGATGTGCCAGTTAGGGGTAAAGAGGGAAAGCTTCTCACAAATCCAGACGAACAGAAACAACACTGGACGGAGCATTTCAAAGAGCTACTGAACAGACCAAGGCAGAAAAACAGTTTGACATTCCACCAGCAGAGATTGATCTGGGGGTGAGTGAAGAAAAGCCCAGTTTAGAAGAGACCAAGGAGGTGATAAGACAACCGAAAGGAGGCAAGGCAGCCGGCCCAGATGGAATTCCCCCCAGAAGTTCTCAAGGCGGATATCGACACTGCAGCAGGGATTCTTCATGGAATTATGGGCAAGAAATAGGACAGCGAAGAATTTCCCAAGGATTGGAGAGACGGATTGCTTGTGAAACTACCCAAGAAAAGAGACCTGCATGAGTGTAAAAATTATTTACAGAGGAATCATGCTCCTGTGCATTCCTGGGAAGATTTTAAGTCGTACCATACTGGAAAGACTGAAGGAAGCCGTGGATGTAAAACTAAGAGAGGAGCAGGCAGGATTTCGTAAAAAGAGATCATGTACCGATCAGATTGCAACTTTGAGGATAATAGTGGAGCAGTCCACAGAGTGAAACTCTTCCCTGTACGTTAACTTTGTTGACTACGAGAAAGCTTTTGACAGGCTAGATAGGGACCCAATATCGAAACTCATGCGCCACTACGGTATACCTGACAAGTTCGTGAGATTGATCAAGAATCAAAAAGATGTATGAGAGAATGAGCTGCCGTGTTTTACTTGAAGGGCAGCGGACAGACTTTGAAGTGAAAACAAGAGTGAAACTGGGATGCCTGCTATTGCCTCTTCTCTTTTTATTAGCAATGGATTGGAGAATGAGACAGACAGCGTCGGGACAACGCGGTGGCATACAGTAGACCCTTTCCAGTCAGTTGGAAGACTTGGACTTTGCCGACGACTTGGCACTTCTTTCTCACAGTCAAGCCCAGATGCCACAGAAGACTAGTCGTCTCAGGGCCTTCTCCCGTAGTGTTGGACTCCATATTCACACGGATAAAACGAAAGTTCTGCGAATGAATGCAGCCGAGGTTCCTATCACACTGCAAGGGGCACCACTGGCTGATGTTGAATCCTTCACCTACCTGGGAAGTGTCATCAACAAGGCAGGGGGAACAGACGAAGACATCAAGGTCAGAATCCAAAAGGCAAGAGCAGCATTCATCATCCTCAGGAATATATGGATGTCTAAGGAACTGGGATTGAACACCAAGCTGAGAATCTCCAAGACAAACGTGAAGACTGTTCTACTGTATGGTTCAGAGACATGGAGGCTCACAGCATCAGCAGCAAGGAAACTGCCTAAGGAGGATAGTACGGATCAAGTGGTACGATCGAGTCACAAATGCTCAACTGAGGGAAATAACAAGCCAAAGGCCAGTAAAGGAAGACATACAGGTGAAGAAATGGAAATGGATTAGGTCACACCCTGAGGAGACCCCCGACAAGCATCATCAGACAGGCTCTGACGTGGAATCCACAAGAAGGAAAACATAAGAAAAGAAGACCAAAGATGACATGGAGGCGAGCGGAACAAGTGGAAATGAAAAAGGCGGTGACATCATGGAAACAGCTACAAAAGGATACAGAGGACAGGCTTCGCTGGAGAAATGTTGTGGATGGCCTATGCTCCACTGGGAGTTAAAAAGGGAGAGAGAGAGAGAGAGAGAGAGAGAGAGAGAGAGAGAGAGAGAGAGAGAGATTATAGTTTCAATAGAATGAGTTCAGTTTCTAAAAGAACTATAAAAAACCGCAGATACATCTAAACAACAACCAAAATACGAGTTTTAAAAAGACTATGTGGCCTTCTGCGGCCGTGAATGTTTGGGCAAATACAATAGTTAATGAAAAATAAACTTCAAACAACAGGAATGCGGATTAAATCATGTTAAGAATTTCATGGATGGAAAAGAAATCAAACGAGGTAGGTCTTAGAGTTGAAAAAGCCTGAGAGGGTTAGGAGCACAGAAAGAGCAACCAGACAACAGCGTTAACTACACAGAAATAAAAACTATTATAAGTACACTATTTAAAGCAACTCAGACACCAGATGGCTACCATGAGCTGTCCCGCCAAGAACAAGTGATTATCTTAAGACTAAGGACACAACACACAAGACTGAGACAACATATGTACAAATGTTTTAAACTAGTACAATCACCAAAATGCCAGTGTGGAGAGACGGACCAAACTGTTGAACACATCCTTCAGCACTGCAAGACACACAGGGCCCTGAGACAGGAAACGTGGCCAACCCCACTGACGCTGCTAGAGAAGCTATACGGGCCGACAGATGAACTGAGCAGGACGGCCCAATTTATGACAGATACCAGACTTCAAGTGTGATGCGATCGAGAAGAAGAAGAAGCCTGAGAGGGTCGCCCGGGACACTTGAATAGACTATTAAAGGCCTTGAACATCTTGCTCGAGCTGGGGGGGGGGGGGGGGGGGGAAGAAGGCAAAAGAGGCAGGAGTAGACAAAGAACAACTTCCTCGGGAAGCTTGAACTGAACAGACGGGTGACGGTGAAAAGACCGAGACATAGTTTTAAAAAATCATTTAGACATATCTACATAATTTTTTAGAGCATCCGAGCCGAGAAATGAGTGGCAACGGCAAACCATGATCATTGATGAGGGTGTTTGAGATCTGGCACATGATGATGATCATGATCGATATACATGTGTATTCCTTTCTTTCCGACCATCCTTTGGACTACGTGTGCATATAGATCTAGCTTGTCGCTATGCTTTACCGTTCTGTTATGTTAGATTGATTCGTATAATTGTGGTTTGACCTGTGAAAAGGGCTTTTTGTGAGTGTTTCATGGCACTCGCAACTAAATGAATGAGCGCGCGGGTCGGCTTGGTGGGAATTCTTTTTTAATTTTGCCCGGCTGGCGGCTGAAGCCCACCCTTATCGATTTTTAGTACCACCAATGGTCTTTAGATTCTAACATGCGCAACTTGCACAGTGGAGCTCCGAAACTTTTTCGTCCTTATCCGAGAAGACTAAGTGTTAGATCTTTGCTACACTAAGAATGATATGGTGTGACCGAAAGACAGCAGTAAGAAGGAACCGCAAGGAGTAGTAGTTGTAGAAAGGCAGCAGAAAGAATTGGGAGCCCAGAGGAGGGGGGCAATTATTTATTTATTTATTTTTATTTTTTTTTGGGGGGGGGAGGAGGCAGAAAATAGATGCGAAAGCAGACGACAGAATATGGTTAGAGAGCAAGAAAGGTGAAAGTAAAAACATTTTCTGTCTCTGTCAGATTTCGAACCCGGGACCACTTGAACAAGAGGCGAACAGTAGACCACGAGATCTCCCAAAGAGCTTCTCTGAAATAACTAGAGAAAATATTTTCTAGGAAATTGTCTATCCGAAAGTCGTACCCCCAACTACCATTTAGACGCATAATGAAGAAAAGAAAATCATGAACAATCTGCATTAGTAGGCTACATGCGTTGTAAAACCTTAGAAGGAATTAGTGA